GCTCCTCCGCGACCAGAAACGGTGGCCGGAAACGCCCAGCTGCTGTTGGAGGGGCTGCCGCGGCGAAGCGCTGCTATTTTTCCGGCGGGGAATGGCTATCTAGCGGTGAAGGGCGGCGGGCGGCGCCGGGATATAGCTAGTGATGGCCGAGGACGCGAGGGAGGGGGGTGGGAGGCGAGTCGGGAAAGAAAACCTTGACTTTTTCCCTGACGGTGTGGGCTAGCCACGTTTTTCTCTTGCGCCGGAGCCCCCAACTGCTCTCCAGTGCGCCGGGTTCGGCCTGTGACCGCCGGACGGAAAAAAAAGCCGAACCGGCGATTTTCGGCATTCTGGGGACGCGACTGGGGCATTTTTTTTCACGCCGGCGCCGAAAAATTGGCCTGAGGTGACCTGTTGGGGACGCGGCCGCGGATGCTGTGAGGCAGCTGTCCGTCCGGAGCTCATGGGGGTTTGAGTGGTCCAGCTATAGAGGCTGTGACGTGCCTAGACGCACAAGAGCTCTGGCTTGAAGCAGGCCTGGTCCCGTCCGACTAAACCCAAATCCCGACCCCGACCGACGACGCGAGTCAAAGAGCAGCGGCGACCGCGCCCATCACCACCACCACCCGCCTGACGGAGCCCTTCCCTCCCATCGGCGGCGGAGATGGTGGGGTGGCTCAAGGCGCTGGTGTACGGCGCAGGGGGCATGGCGGTGGTGGGCCTGGCGGCGCTGGTGGCGCTGCAGGAGCGCCTCGTCTACGTGCCCGTGCTCCCTGGCCTCCCCCGCGCTTACCCCATCAATCCCTCGCGCTTCCGCCTCATCTACGAGGACGTCTGGCTCCGCGCCGCCGACGGCGTGCGCCTCCACTCCTGGTTCCTCCGCCACTCTGCCACCTGCCGAGGCAAGGACCACCCAGTCCCCGATCCTCCCCAACCTCTCCCGGTTTGTTTGTTGGTTCCTCCCCCCGTGTCCAATGACTCGATCGGTACCAGGAAGTGTTCCGGTTATTGGAGCGTCAGTTGGTGGATCTCTTCGAGTCTGTACTCGAGGGATTGGTTTTGACCCGAATTGCGTGGCTAGATAGTGGCGTTGCTTCATCTCTTAGCTCCCTTGATCGGGACATGGGTCCGTGGATCTGGGTAGGGTTTACGGCGTTCACTTAAGAAATGCCCGATGTTTATGATTTTTGTGGCTAATAGGATTTGAACTTTACTGCCGCTGCCTGCATGGATATGTCATATGTTCTTAATTGATCTGTAGGGTTCCTTGGTTTTATTACACAGTTCTCTGTAGTTCGGTGTCTGGATTCAGGATTGATTGGCCGATCCAAGTTCCAGCTTCATTGTGATTTCTAGTCGGTACTCGCTGGTGTATGTGGTGCTTAGTATAGTATTTCTCTGATGTGCTATTTGTGTTCAATTGACCGTAGAGATGTTATGAACGTTCAACACACGGTAGGGTTAGATTCCACAATTTTTGTTTCCATACTTAGATTTTTATCGTGACGTGTTGCTTTCTTTGTCTCTATGTGGTTATATATTTGCATCGCATCACTATGTTTCATGGTTGTTGATTTGGTTTTCTACTGTATATCTCTATGGGTTAGTTTTAAAAGTTGTGCAAGTTTAGAAAGTATACCCAATAAGCTTTCTGACCATATATAAAGGCATGCATGATTACGTAAAAGTTCACGTGAACCATGATTTGGTTCAAAGCAGGAAGAGATGGGAAATATTTGCGGTGATCTGTGGACGAGAAATATGCAATTGCCACGTGTACGTTCAAAATACTTTGGCATGTCAACACATTTGTCTATTCCCTTCAAAACCGGCTCAGCGCTGCGTCGAACCTACTTTCTCCTAGTCACCTTCGCTTTTTATTCATTGGCCCCAGATGTGTAACTGGACCAGCTGGCCAACTATCTGCGAAATTAGAATTTGTATGCATGCGTTAGTTTCCTCTAGCTAGTTGTATCTACTACTCTAGCTGATCTTGTCTATGCATCAAATGAGATACACTTCTTCTTGTCTATATCTCGTTGGCCACATCATTTGCTGGTGTTTTTATTTGTTTTCAGGTTAGGAAGAGAAGTTACAGTCTTGATATTGTTCTATAACTAGGTGTTCATGATGCTTGATAATTATATGAGCACAAAAAGTTTCAAGAGAGCTTTTCACAAAACAAAAAAAGTCATATTCAGAGCTTCAGTCCTCTCCCATTTCCTACATCACTGATAGCATGAAATTGTTATAGCATATTCATGTTTAGGAACTATTGTGCTCAATCTTCAGTTTGTTCTCAACTTCACATTGTCTGTTTCATAGTGTTTTCCTGATGCAGGTCCGACCATTCTGTTCTTCCAGGAAAATGCCGGCAGTATCCTGAATTTCTTTTTATGGACATGAAAATTCATAAAATTGTATCTCATTGATGACAAATTGTGTTGAAGCTATACTCTGTTAAAATCCTTCACTCATTATAGATATTGCACATCGTTTGGAATGCGTTCGACTAATGATGCAGCGGCTACAGTGCAATGTGTTTATGCTTTCTTATAGAGGGTATGGTTCTCCACAGTGTAAACCAGTTATACTATCTTCGTTTCATTCTTCTTTCTTGAAGCTCTCAGTATCATATGTGATTCAAATGTCTTAACTTTCTTTCATTTATTAGTGAACCTGAACTTTGTTGGATAAGTCTGTGTACTAGGGTCTTTGTGGGGCTGCAGCACATGGTCCTTGTGGCAGTTAGGATAGAGTTCCTGACCATCAAGGACTGGCAGTTAGGATAGCATCTTAGACCAGCATCTTAGTAGCATCTCAGCATATGCTTGGCTGGCTAGCAGCCTATAAGTATGTATCCCCAACCCCTCAGGTGGGCATGGCATTGTGTGAGGAATAAACCAACGAAAATTGTCCCAACTCTCCTAGTGTCATCCACAACTATCAATGCTCAGGTTCAAAGGTCTAACAAGTGGTATCAGAGCCTCGTTATCTTGTACCCTGAGCATTTCCTGTGAGCAGCCCAAGTCGGTAGCAGCAGCTGCTCCGTCTGCCTCTGGTTACTTTCCTCCCTCCGGACTGTCGAGCAGCAGTTCGTCTTCAACAGCCTCCTCTTCACGCAACAGTCCCCCTGCAGCGAGCCATGTCTGCAGGTCGCTCTCAGCACACGGCTACCTCGAGCATGCGGCGCCGGCAGGAGGCCGAGCGCGCCGTGGCAGAGGAGCGTGAGCGAGCAGCTGTAGCAGCAGCTGCTGCGGCAGCAAGGGTGTCGAGGCTGGCTGCAGCGGAGTTGGCAGCAGCCAAAGCGGAGGTAGAAGCAGCCAGGGCGGAGTTAGAAGCAGTAGCAGCAGCGGATGCAGCACGTGAGGCTATGGCGGATGCCAAAGCACTCTGCGGCGGCTCTGGCAGCTCCAACAGCTCCGCACCTGCGGACGACGGCGCTGACGCAGACCGCGCCAAAGTGGCGCAAGAGCGGACGGCGCAGTGGGCAGCCGAGCACGCCCGCGCTCCAGGTGGAGGTGCGCACCGCGACGGCGGCTGCAACGACCAGGACCGCGGCCTCTACAAGGTCCGGACTGTGGTCAGGGATGTTGGTCCCAGTGCTGGGTGGCCTACCCTCACTAAAACCAACTACGTCGAGTGGGCCGGGATCATGAAGGTCAGGCTCGAGGTGCGGCGCATGTGGGAGGCAGTCCAGGACAGCAACGTCAACCACCAAGAGGACCGACGGGCGCTGGACGCCCTCATCGCCGCAGTCCCGCCCGAGATGCAGTTCTTGCTTTCCAGCAAGCGGACTGCCAAGGAAGCTTGGGACGCCATCGCCGCGGCACGCATCGGCAGCGACCGTGCTCGCAAGTCCACTCTGCAGGCACTTCGTAAGGAGTGGGAGAGCCTGGCTTTCAAGCCAGGTGAGGACGTTGATGACTTTGCTCTCCGTCTCAACACTCTGCTGCAGAAGTTGGTGAAGTTTGGTGATGCCACCTACACCGAGGAGAGAGCTGTCGAGAAGCTCTTTTGGTGCATCCCCGAGAAGTACAAGCAGATGGCTCGGTCGATCGAGTCCTTGCTGGACCTCTCCACGATGACAATCGAGGAGGCGATAGGTCGCCTCAAGGTCGTCGACACCGACGAGCCACAGCCTTCCTCGGGGCCCATCACCACCGGCGGGAAGCTGCTCCTAACTCGGGAGCCGTGGGATGCCAGCCTTGGTGACAGGAAGAAGGGGGAGCCTTCTTCCACGACGGGCGGCCGCAAGCGTGGCAAGTAGCGTAAGACGCGAAGAGGCCCCCCGGGCAGGGCACAAGGACGTGCCGAAGGGGATGCTCGCGGAGGCGCCAAGGACGGCGCCGCTGGCAAGCCCAAGCCGGCACAAGACAACAACTGCCACAACTGTGGCCGTTTTGGCCATTGGGCCAATGAGTGTCGGCAACCACGACAAGGCCAGGCTCACGTCGCATAGGTGAAGGAGGAGACGGCTCTGTTCATGGCGCATGCAAGCATTGAGCTATCTTCAGCGACACCAGTCGCAAAAGCTCTCATCCACCTCGACGAGCCAAAGGCACACGCTCTTCTCGGCGATGCCTCCGGGAAGGACAAGACTACAGGGTGGTGCCTCAACACCGGCGCCACCCACCACATGACCGGTCGAAGGGAATTCTTCGCCGAGCTCGATTCCGATGCGCGAGGCTCCGTCAAGTTTGGGGATGCCTCCGCTGTGGAAATTAAGGCGTCGGCTCCGTCATCTTCACCACCAAGACGGGAGAGCACCGGCTGCTCACCGGTGTCTACTACATCCCCGCGCTAAGGAACTCCATCATTAGCTTGGGACAGCTGGATGAGAACGGCTCACGCGTGCTGATTGAGCATGGGGTCCTACGCATCTGGGATCGCCAGGGTCGCCTTCTCGCCAAGGTACCCAGAGGTGGAAATCGACTCTACGTCCTTGATGTGCAGGTGGCACAACCGGTCTGTCTCGCTGTCCGTCGGGACGACGAGGCGTGGCAATGGCATGAGCGCTTTGGGCATCTTCACTTTGAGGCCCTGAAGCGTCTAAGTGCCAAGGAGATGGTACGAGGCCTGCCATGCCTCAACCATGTGGAGCAGTTCTGCGACATCTGCGTACTGACGAAGCAGAGACGACTCCCCTTTCCCCAACAAGCGAGTTTTCGGGCCAAGGAGAAGCTGGAGCTCGTGCACGGAGACTTGTGCGGCCCGGTGACGCCAGCCACACCAGGAGGTCGACGCTACTTCCTGCTGCTCGTCGACGATCTCTCTCGCTACATGTGGGTGATGATTCTCGGCAGCAAGGGAGAAGCGGCGGACGCCATCAGGCGCGCGCAGGCTGGTGTGGAGGCGGAGAGCGGCCGCAAATTGCGCGTGTTGCGCACTGACAACGGCGGCGAATTCACGGCGGCTGAATTCGCGCCGTACTACGCCGATGAGGGCATCCAGCGCCACTACTCCGCGCCGTACAACCCGCAGGAAAACGGAGTCGTCGAGCGGCGCAACCAGACGATTGTGGGGATGGCTCGGGCTCTCCTCAAGCAGCGAGGGATGCCGGCTGTTTTCTGGGGAGAGGCGGTGCTGACGGCTGTCTACATCCTCAACCGCTCGCCTACTAAGGCACTCGACGGCAGGACACCGTATGAGGCCTGGCATGGGCGGAAGCCGGCGGTTTCCCATTTGCGGGTCTTCGGCTGTCTTGCGTTCGCTAAGGAGCTTGGCCACATCGGCAAGCTCGACGACAGGAGCACTCCGGGAGTCTTCATCGGCTATGCGGAGGGCTCAAAGGCCTACCGCATCCTCGACCCAAAGACACAGCGTGTGTGCACGGCGCGAGACGTTGTGTTCAATGAAGGGCGAGGGTGGCAATGGGACAAGGCGGTGGACGACGGCGCAACGCCGATGTATGACGACTTCATTGTCGAGTACGCTCACTTCAAGGAAGCCGGGGGAGCAAGCAGCTCCTCTCCGCCGAGCACGTCTACCCCGGCCCCCAAAACTACATCGACTCCGGTGCCCGCTACGCCGGCGACACCACAACTGGCGATGCCGCATACTCCAGCCCCGGCGGTCACCACTCCGGGTTCGTCCTCATCAGCACCAGCTCACACAGAGCACAACCCGATGAAGTTCGCTTCCCCGCTCACTCACGACGAGGAGCGGGTCGACGCGTGGTATGGAGGCGAACAGCTGCGCTATCGCACGATGTATGATCTACTCGGCGACCAGCCGGTGCCGGGACTGATGCCACGTGACCTGGAGGCGCAGCTACAACTCGCGTGTGAGGACGCCAAACCACGGTCCTTTGCAGAGGCCGAGAGAGATGCGGCATGGCGCGCCGCGATGCAGTTGGAGATGGATGCGGTCGAGCAAAACCGCACCTGGGAGTTCGCTGACCTCCCCCGTGGTCATCGCGCAATCACCCTTAAGTGGGTGTTCAAGCTGAAGAGGGATGGAGCCGGCGCCATCATCAAGCACAAGGCTCGCCTGGTGGCCCGAGGCTTCTTGCAGCAGGAAGGAGTCGACTTCGACGACGCCTTCGCTCCCGTGGCACGGATGGAGTCCGTGCGACTTCTCCTTGCGCTGGCTGCCTAGGAGGGCTGGCGTGTCCATCACATGGATGTCAAGTCGGCATTCCTCAACGGTGACTTGAAGGAGGAAGTCTACGTGCATCAGCCACCGGGTTTCGCGATTCCCGGCCAGGAGGGCAAGGTACTCCGCCTGCGCAAGGCCCTCTATGGCCTACAGCAGGCACCTAGGGCGTGGAACGCCAAGCTGGACTCCACGCTAAAGAAGATGGGCTTCGAGCAAAGCCCGCATGAGGCCGCTGTCTACCGACGGGGCAGTGGAGGAAATGCCCTGCTGGTGGGCGTCTATGTTGACGACTTGGTGATCACCGGCACCAAAGATGCAGAGGTAGCGGCATTCAAGGAAGACATGAAGGCCACCTTCCAGATGAGTGATCTGGGGCTCCTCTCCTTCTATCTAGGGATTGAGGTGCACCAGGATCACTCCGGGATCGTGCTTCGACAGTCCGCCTACGCCAAGTGCATCATTGAGCTAGCTGGGCTCACCGGCTGCCATCCAGCTCTCACTCCGATGGAGGAGAGGCTGAAACTGAGCCGCGACAGCACGACGGAGGAAGTGGATGCTACGTAGTACCGACGCCTTGTGGGGAGCCTTCGCTACCTCACCCACACACGGCCGGACCTAGCATTCTTCGTCGGCTATGTCAGTCGGTTCATGGAGCGACCGACGTCAGAACACCAGCAGGCAGTGAAGAGGATCATCCGCTACATAGCAGGGACCCTCGACCACGGCCTCCACTACCCTAGGTGTCCGGGGGCAGCACACTTCGTCGGGTACAGCGACCACGCCGGCGACATCGACACCAGCAAGAGCACGAGCGGGATCCTCCTCTTCCTCGGCAAGTGTCTCGTGAGCTGGCAATCAGTCAAACAGCAGGTGGTGGCCCTGTCCAGCTGTGAGGCTGAGTACATAGCGGCCTCCACCGCCTGCACTCAGGCGCTTTGGCTCGCTCGACTGCTTGGTGATCTTCTCGTTCAAGACACCAGAACGGTGCAGCTCCTGGTGGACAGCAAGTCCGCCCTGGCCCTGGCAAAGAACCCCGTGTTCCATGAACGGAGCAAGCACATCCGGCTGAGGTATCACTTCATCCGCAGCTGTGTGGAAGAAGGGAGCATCGAGGCGAGCTACATCAACACCAAGGATCAGCTCGCAGACCTGCTCACCAAGCCTCTTGGGAGGGTCAAGTTCCTCGAGCTTTGCTCCAGGATCGGGATGATTTAACACTACCACAAGACGACGTACAAGACTTAGGGGGAGAATGTTGGATAAGTCTGTGTACTAGGGTCTTTGTGGGGCTGCAGCACATGGTCCTTGTGGCAGTTAGGATAGAGTTCCTGACCATCAAGGACTGGCAGTTAGGATAGCATCTTAGACCAGCATCTTAGACTAGCATCTTAGACTGGCATCTTAGTAGCATCTCAGCATATGCTTGGCTGGCTAGCAGCCTATAAGTATGTATCCCCAACCCCTCAGGTGGGCATGGCATTGTGTGAGGAATAAACCAACGAAAATTGTCCCAACTCTCCTAGTGTCATCCACAACTATCAATGCTCAGGTTCAAAGGTCTAACAAACTTTGATCATGTTTGTAGGTATGGTGAGAGCGAAGGTTATCCTTCTCAGAGTGGCATCACAAAAGATGCACAGGTTTGTTGTTTCCTGCATTTTGTTTTTGTTCTCACTTTTGTGGTTTTGTTTACTCTTCTTACAGTTCTCTCTTTTGTTAGGCCGCACTTGATCATCTACTTCAGAGGAAGGACATTGACACATCCAGGATAGTTATCTTCGGGAGATCTTTAGGAGGTGCTGTTGGAGCAGTTCTTGCAAAAAACAATCCTGACAAGGTACTCGTTGTAAACTGATTTGTCTATGCATTGCTGTAGAGAAGTGAGAATAGGTTCATTTGATCTCTCTGCCGTTGGATTTGTGATGGCAGTATCCTCCACTGCACTTCTATTTTCGAACAAATTTCATTGGATCAACATTCAAAACATGCATATGTTCATAAATTAGACTTAGATTTTCATGTAGTTATGATGTAGATTACCTTCTATTACAAGATTATTCTGCTATGGATCTTGCCAGAAGATTGTGAAGAATGTTAAGACTGTTACAGTATGCTGAAACTCAAGTGATGACACATGATCATGACCATTGCTGACAGCAATGGTCAGGTGGTTACAGTCTTGATCTATGCTGAAAATCAAATGATGTTAGTTTTTGTAAGGCAGCATATAGGAGAGAAATTTTTACTTGAAAAGAAAGAAAAAAACAGACCCAGATCTTTCTGTCTCCTTCCATCTAGATTGGCCAGAGCTCCATCTTTACCTAATAATAAAGGGGCTATTGCTTCTTACCACCGTAATTTTCGTCCGCTAAGTACGTTCCGAAATTTTGGTCCGTCCGTCATACTCTCCTTGGCTCGATCCTTTTTTATCTCGTACGACCTTGCTTCCGTACATCTTCGCTGGGCCTAGATCCTTCATCCATCGCTAGCTTAATTGGGCCTACAAAATTGCAGCGCTTCGCTGGGCCTGATCCTTCGTAGGTCACTCGCTTTACTGGGCCTACAATTTTTTTTTTTAAATAGTTGCTGCGGTGAGGTATTGATCCCTCGACCTCCCATCTAGCAGATTAGGTAGAGTCCAACTAATGTAGACTAGCAGGTGTGCATGACAAAGGTGTTCTTTCTATTAAATTGTACCAAATTGCCCCCTTAAAGCCAACCCCACTGATTTATATACGTCTCCTGTTACTTGGGTACCATCAACTCAATAAGCCGGCTCCGGAAGCTCTAAGCACAGGATGAGGAGACGATTTTCAGAATGAGTCCCAACTATAAAATCTAATGATCGAATGGAATTAACTTCCTCATGTGCTGATATGGTTACACGACCCAATGAGAGAAGAGGCTTATTAAAGGAGTAATGTTGTTAATACAATTAAACGGACGCATGTACCAATGGGAAAGAATGGAAGAGGCTTTAAGGAGTAGACGTTGTTACTAAAATAAAACGGATGCATGTACTATGTGCAAATGGGAAAGAAGAGAAGAGGCTTATTAAAGGAGGACCCTGTACTAAAATGGGAAGCAGACTTCATATTTAATAAAGATCTGTGGCCTGTGCATAAAGCAAAATCGCGCTAGATCGAGTGAGCAGTGTCCGACCGATCGAGTAAGTAGTATTGGTAAAAATAAGAGAAGGAAAAAAAGTATCTTCATACTTATTCAGATTTTGCTGAATCATCTCTGAAGTGTGTTCATAAATCTGGCTAATTCCCAACATAGAATTTTTTTCTGCAATTTCTGCTTTGGAAATAAATTCAACTTTGCATGCTTACATGGAGCTAGATTCCTGATAAACAAGTGTTTTGGCACATTATATCAAAACGGAACTGCTAGTGATTGAGTTCCATATGTATTGTTTCCCAATCGGAACATATTTCAGAACCTAATTGGAGAAGTGTCTCTGATGTCAGATTTCGGTCTGAATCATGACAAAAAACAAACTCAAAATGATTAGGAGGAACTATCACGATGCATTACAGGTCTGTACCATGCTAGGGAATCTGTGATATACAAGTAAAACAGATGCCGATGAGAAGGTGATCTCTAACGAAAAATTAGCCCGCTCATCATGGACAGAAGACATTGATAATTAGTTCACAAATCTGAAAAATAATTTACCACTCAAACAACTTTGCAACTAACAAAAAAATATTAAAAGTACTCACAAGTACCAACCACATTTCTTGAAAAAACATATATTTTCACATATAAAACCTTCCTACCAATCTCCTTCCAAAGACCTAGGTCATAGTAGCACTTCTCCTCCAGGATCATATTTATCTATTTTCTACCTGCTGCAACACACGGGCCCTTTTGCTAGTAACTTAAATACCCCAAAACAGCTTCCAGACCTCGTTCGCCCATTAAAGGAAATTACGTCCAACCAACACTTCACTTTTGTGATCAACCTAGGACACCTTAATAAAGCAGGCTCTTAGATTTTACTGTTGTGAACTCAGTCATGTGGTTAGGGCAACATGAGTTAGGTCATATTTTGGTAAGCTAATAACATCTATAGAAGTGTGTTAAGCTTTGGCCTTTGCAATTGATAATGATCTTGCTAGATGTTGTTCTTTGTTGCAGGTGTCTGCTCTAATATTGGAAAATACTTTTACATCTATATTGGATATGGCTGGTATCATGCTGCCCTTCTTAAGATGGTTCATAGGCGGTAGTTCTGCCAAAGGCCCAAAACTTCTTAACTGCGTTGTTCGCTCTCCATGGAGTACACTTGATGTTGTTGCAGAGGTGAGTTTTGGGGGTTGGTTTAAATCAACATTTTATACGCTGTTGTTTTCATGCTTGGTTCCGTACTCTTATTTTTAATCTTTGGAAAAAAAATATAGTGTTGATCTGTTTTTGATTCAAACAGTTTGTTTTTACTCCTTTGGACTTTGTATTCAAAGATTACACCAAAATGAAACCTATACTATTTGTTAAGCTGTAAGGTTTCAAATCTGTATTTATACTATTCTGCTGTTCTCAGATCTTTATTTTAGTCCGCCTCATCGGAAATAATCATAATCTGTTAAGCCGTAAGGTTTCAAATCTATTTATGCCATTCTGCAGTTCTCAGATCTTTATTTTAGCTCCATGGTTTGTGTTATCCGTTGCCTGAGTTTTGGCATGTCAATGCAGGTCAAACAGCCCATTCTCTTTCTTTCTGGATTGCAAGATGAACTGGTTCCCCCTTCACACATGAGGATGCTGTATGACAAAGCTGTTGAACATAACAGGAATTGTAGGTTTGTTGATTTTCTCAATGGTATGCATATGGATACCTGGATTTCTGGAGGGGACCGCTACTGGAGGACAATCGAATTGTTTCTGGACCAATATTCCCCAGAAGTACAGAGTTCTGATGCCAGCTGCACAAGTGAAATTGCTGATGATGGTAAGTAGTACTCCATGGGAATATTGTTCTATCATGTTTTTCCTTATACTTGCATGGATACATTATGTTGCCATATTTGTGTATTTAACTACATAGTGTAGTTTTACTAATGTTAATGGCAATACTGAATGGTGAATACAATCATTTGTATCTTGGAATCTGGTTCATGATGTTGACTACAAATGTGCGATTTATGTTAGCTTGCCTCTGATAAATTGAATCTCTCTTTCTAGATAAAGCTGCATAATAATTGGAACATCTAGAGCAGCCTGCTGTTTTCCACCAGTTTTTCTGATGTTGATGCAATTCCGGTCTTTGATGGATTGAAGATCATTTCAAACAATTAATTCAGGTGGTTGTTCTGCTCCATTCCACCTGAAGAAGCCAAAGCTGTGAATATATTTTGAGGTTGTTCTCCATCCTGTGATGCTGCTGCATATGTGTATGGAATGACACATATATATTTCTGAGCCTGGCTCGGCCTTCAACTCCCGAGTTTCTGTACAATGGCTTCATTCAAGTATTTGCAATTTATTGGAACTAGTACCGAATGTTAGAAAATCTGGCCTTGGTGTATGACGGTTCAGTATAGGGTAATCTTGTTGGCTCGACCATTTCGTTCTGTTATTATGACTGTTGCTACCAATATGTTTTTTTTTTTGCACCTGCTGTGCAAAAACCTGCAGCTTTCCTTAGAAGCTGTGCATTGTGCAAGGCAATGTCTTTGTTTCTGAAACTGCTTCCACCCAGGGCTTCTTTGGTTTAAAGGATTGTCGAATGAAAATTTCGGAGGATTGCAGTCCTTCAAGAATATTTCCTATATTGCTTGCAGTGCCATGACAGTACAAAACCAAAGTTTAGCAAATATTTCCTACATTGCTTGCAGTGCCATGACAACAAAACCAAAGTTTAGCATAGCAAAATATGTAACTACACAACATATGCAACAACGCAATAATATCAGAAAACACCCTAATAAACTACCTTTTCCGAGTTATAAAGCAAAGCGGTGGGGTGGCTTGCCTTGCTCAAAGTGACTGTCAAAGTATTCCGGATCGATCTTCAAAACCTAGAACAGTTCCTTCTTGAAATAATTATAAAAGCATACATAAGTAATCACATAAAGCATATATATCTACCTACCCTATCTAGGCAGATCACAAAAATGTAAACAAAATACTACTGGACAGAGGACCTCAAATGAAAAACATTGAAAAATAATCAACTCATTTAAACTTAAAATGAGCGTGATATCACTGATTAAAGTTTGGTCAACATATATGAATTTCTTTGAAATAGGGAAACACAGAAGGCACCCACGTCAAAGGCGTATTTGTGGGACAGTGGCGGAGCTAGCATTAGATTGCATGTAGGGCTAAGCTTGCTTGAGAGATGCACTCTAATAATTTTATATATTTTGTGGGAAGGAATTGCAAAGGCTATTGTTATTAGGCCTAGGGCTATAGCCCCAACGGTCCTAGGCCTGTCTCGGCCACTCAATGGGTGAGTCCGCTTGTGTGTCCTCGCCAGAGAGCGGTGCGGTGGCGCTCACCAGCGAGGGGCATCACCAGACAGAAATGGACCATGCATGAGGATGGAGTGCTCGATGGTGAGTCAAACGTTGTGCGGGACACACCGCAGGGGGTACTTGGCGGTGATGGTACCATTGTACTCCCTCTGTTTTTTTAGTCCGCATATAAGGTTTAGTCAAAGTCAAGCTTTGTAGAGTTTGACTAACTTTATATTAAAAAGTATAAACATTCACAATATGAAATTAATATTATCAAATGTATCATGAAACGTATTTTCATACTATATAGTTTTAGTATTGTAGGTGTTCATATTTTTTTATATAAATTTGGTCAAACTTTGTGCAGTTTGATTTTGACCAAATCTTATATGCAGAGTAAAAAGAAACGGAGGGAGTATCTGACGGTGGCAATGAGGGGAAGTGGGATGGTTCGCTCGCTCCACTCCTGCAATCACCACGAAAGCTTTGCACATGAGCTTGAGCGAGTCAAGGGGAGCTCAGGGGTATATGACGGATCAATGGGGCTGCAGTGAACGATGGTGGAGCTCCTGGCCCGAGCTAAGGAAGGATTGAATTGCAGAAAGCCATCACATTGAGCCTAGGGTTGCAGAAAAGACTCTTCTACGTTTTTGTGCCAGAAAACACTGATTTCACGCCTAATCATTTGCAGAAAACACCAAACCTTCTATTGGGGCATTTTAAGCACTATTATGACAGGTGGGGCCCGATTTTAGGGACGTGGCATCACGGCCGCGAGCTCACGCCGTCTAACGATGCTACAGTGGGAACAGACGCGCCGTCTCGATCAAAACGGCACGGGTCCCTTATCCACTTCATTCTCCCCCTTTCACCACTCCTCTCCTCTGTCTCTCTTTCTCCCCGTGCTCCATGGTGACGGCGAGCCCTGACGACGGCGGTGGAGTGGATGCCGCCGGCGGGGGAGTGGATGGAGGCTGCAGCGGAAGGTTGCTTCGCAGCGGCGAATCGAACGAAGTGGAGGAGGTGTGCGGCAGCTCAAACCCCCCGAAGAGGAGAGCACCGTCGCCGTCGCTTGAGTACCGCGCCGCCGGCGCTTTTGCCCGTGCTGTGCATGCTACTCCGACGGGTAGCCATCAATGGGCTTCTGCATTTGGCGGCGTTGAGTAAGTTCTCCCCCTCCTTCTAGGTTAGGGATCAATTTCTAGGGTTAGGGTTAGGGATCAACTTCTCATAGTTCAATAGTTAGTCTTCGATTTGAATGAATTGTAGGTCAATATTGTTTGTAGTCTAACCTCTGATATGTATCCTATCAGTTAGATGAATTTGCTCCTGTGTATGAAGTTAACTGAATTTTCTCAATGTACACAAGTTTTTCAGTTGACTGAATATTGTTTAGTGTCAATAGTTTGTAAAGGCCCAGAATTTGCTCCTGTGTATGAAGCGTCTGAAGTTAACTGGATTAGGGTAGTGTATGAAGTTAAATGGATTTGCTTCACTGTATGACATTAACTGAATATTGTTTAGTGTCAATAGTTAACTGAATTCTATTAGCATATGAAGTTAACTGGATTAGGGTAGTGTATGAAGTTAAATGGATTTGCTTCACTGTATGAACTTAACTGAATTTTTTAGTGTTCAAAAGATTTTAGTTAACTGAATATGTGTCAGTTTCACCTACTAATTTGTAATATTTCAGTTAAGTCATCGATATATCGACAAGATGAGGCTCAAGGTGAACCCTAGGGTCAAATCATCGATATATCGACAAGATGAGGCTCAAGGTGACACCCTAGGGTCAAATCATCGATATATCGACAAGATGAGGCTCAAGGTCAACCCTAGGGTCAAATCATCGATATATCGACAAGATGAGGCTCAA